GATAACCACCATACAAGAACTACCTACATACACTCCTAACCCCAACTCATCAAGGTGGTTGAAATCATCACTACCCGTATATACCTAATCGTTACATCAATAAAACAGATCATAGTCTGGCCTTTTCCAGCTCGGCCTTAGCTTCCTCGGCAATCAGCTCAGCAGCTCTTTCGGCTACGCCCAACACCGTCAACATGGGGTTGATGGTAGGAATCGTCGGGAATACTCCCGCATCCACAATGCGCAAGTTCTTCAGCCCCTTCACCTTCAGGTCCGCGTCAACCACGGCCATCTCATCTTTGCTCGTGTCGCCCATCTTGGTCGTTCCGCACGGGTGGTACACCGTGTGCGCCGCTTTCCGCGCGTAGTAGCTGAGGTCCTCGTCTGACTGAACCTTCGGCCCAGGTGCAATCTCCTCTTTGATCCAGTCTTTGAACGGCGCTTGTTCCGCCACCTTGCGCGCTGCTCGCATGCCGAATACTAATGTAGCAGCATCATACCCTTCCGGGTCCGTGAAGTACCGGAAATCAAGCGCCGGCTTGACCTGGGGATCCGCTGAGGTAAGATATAACCGGCCTCGAGATCTCGGTCGCGGGATGTTCGGGGTCATACAGAAGGCGTAGCCGTCTGGAATATCCGGATATCCTAGTCGGAGCGTGTTAAGCGTGAACGGAATCTGATAGCAGTGCATCATGACGTCGGCGATATCTCCATCAGAGAGCCCCATGGGATTGGCGGCCGACTTCTTAGCTCCAGCACCAGGCGCCTCGCGACGCAAGAAAATTCCTGCGTCGGAGTCCATCGTCGTCTGGTTTGGCGGGACGGGCTTCTTTAGCTCCCACATGATAATGCTCTCGGGATGATCTTGGAGGTTCTCTCCGACACCTGCAATATCGCAGACGACGGGGATACCCAAATCTAACAGTTGTTTCTTAGGTCCAAGTCCGGACAACAGCATTAGGCGAGGGGTGTCCACAGCTCCAGCGCTCAGGATTATCTCGGACTTGGCCTTGATGCTGCGCAGTGAACCATCTTTCAGCGCTATGCTGATGCTGTCAACGACATCGCCGCTGACATTGATTTTCGATACCCATGCGTCCGTCAAGATAGTCAGGTTGGGCCGCTTCTCCTCGCCTCTCAGTATCGGATGAATGTACGCGACGGATGCACTAGACCGTCTGCCATTATCCGGGTTGTAGCTCACGGAGAAGAACCCGACGCTGGGCTTCAGCGACCCATTTGCTGATATATGCTTGTTGAAGTCATCGATGACGGGTATGTCAAGCGCTGAGCTGCACGAATCCACCCAGTCCTTGCATAGTTGGTTGCGATGTCTGGCGTGGACCGGCTGGATGGTGTTCTTCAGCTTATCCAGAGCTTTCATGAATACGGGAAACGTCCATCCACGCCCCCCCAGCGACTGCCAGATATCCATGTCATATTGAAACGGTCGGAAGGAGATCAAGGTATTGTGCGAAGAACAGCCTCCCAAAACCTTGGCTCGTGAGTGTCTGATATAAGAATTGCCTGTGGATTATGGTCAGTAAAGGGGCCAGTTTAATTCGGGATGACACGACTTACCCATAGGCTGTTCGGTGGTACCGTAATCATAATCGAGCTCGCCGCCAAGCAAGGTCAACCATTGCTTGAGATCGAGGACTCGGTCGTCCATAAAATCACTAGGACCGGCCTCGATGAGAAGGACATTTTTGTGCGGAAGATACTCCGCCAGCCTTGCAGCAACGACGCAGCCGGCCGTACCTCCACCGACGATTACATAGTCGTACTTATCAGAATCTGACACGGGGAGCTGGGCGGTAGTCATATTTTCCAACAGCTGATTTACGCAAGATGATTTCCTAACCAGCAAAAATACGTTATAATCGAAAATCCAGGTCTTATGATTTTTCAACTCCGACTACGCAGCCAAGTGGCAGTCTGGGTCTATTAATGTGTCAATGTTTCGGCGCGTTCGAGTTAGCAAACCTGCCAAGCCGGATCGGGAATCGGTCGAGCGCTGCACACTTTTAAAGCATGGGGCCCTTATCGTCCGTTATTGGCTCGTAGTTGTACGAGAGCTTCCCAGATCCCCCGCGCAGGGCGGTGAATGGCCTGACTCGTAGTCGACCAGATATGCGTATGCGGGCGTGGGGAGGACAGAACTCGACAGGTCTATCTGGCTGCTTGGGTGATGTTAGGTGGCTGGGCCAGTCCGAAGTTGGCAAAGATAACCTAAGGTACCTTGCTAATGCATCTCGATAGCCCTGGATACCTAGCCTGTTCTATCTTGAGTACCTAGGTATGTATACAGGTATGTCAGCGCTGATGTATGTAGGTATGTATTTTACCTCACGGCTGCCACCCCTTGGATCCTTATCTCGATATAAGACAAATCTTCTTCTCCATATCAAAACGCGCAACACACGCTAGCTACCCCCCCAAAACAGTCAAGCTGCCGTCAGCCCGAAGGACCTCCGAAGTCCACTAGAGAACTTTGCGAGTTACCGGCATTAGAAGCTAGCCAGCTAACTCGAGATCCAACCTACCAATCGGGCGGCTTCTCAGCGGGGCTGGCGGGGTCCAGCTCGAGAGATCTGAGACAAGAGCCGCAGAGTGTCAACAGCGCGCTTCTCCGCTTTCCAAGTTAGATGACGTGAAACGGTGAACGGTGATCCCTCCTTATCCGGCCCGATCTAGAAAGATTCTTCGAGTGCTGCTATCGCTATTAGTAACATCAACATCAACTTGGTGAAATCGTATCAGTAAATCATAACAGGGATTATCCCGCTACCTAATATTTGACGATAGGTTCAATAATCAATACTACTCCAAACCTCGCACTAGCTCTCCGGCTTTGCTGCCGGCCCATTCCTATCTTCACATCCCAGTTGAAAACGTACGACGCACTAGGCTAAGTGACAATAGCATTGGAATCTTGTAGTAAACAAAAACCAACGGCTCATCACTCTCTCTTATTGCCGAGGTCCACATCGCGATCGTATCATATCGGCACGAACAGACACTTAGTCTCGACATCATGGCGTTCAAGGATGTAGATAGATACACTTTCTACGCAGGAAAGCCGCAATCTACTGAAGTGACATCCGGCCACTTTGAATCCTTCGACCCGTCGAACGGTGAGTCGATATGCAAGATATACAACTCGTCGCCTAAATCAATCGACGCCGCAATCCAATCAGCCCAGTCAGCATTCCCGTCGTGGTCTAGCACACCACCGGCAGAACGAGCACGAATACTACAGAAGGCAGTCGCTCTTTTACGTCAAAACAACGATGCTCTCGCACGCATCGAGACTCTCGACACCGGGAAACCGTTCTCGGAGACGTCGACGGTAGATATCGTCACCGGGGCGGATGTTCTCGAGTACTTCGCCAACCTAGTAGGTAGCGGTGGGTTGAATGGCGAGTCCATGCGCCTCCGGTCCTCCGCCATGGTCTACACGTCCAAGGAGCCCTTGGGGGTGTGCGCCGGCATAGGCGCCTGGAACTATCCGATCCAGATCGCGCTGTGGAAGTCGGCGCCGTGCCTGGCGGCCGGGAACTGCATGGTGTATAAGCCGAGCGAGTTCACGCCGCTGCACGGAGAGTACCTGGCAGGCCTCTACCGCGAGGCCGGCGTCCCGGACGGCGTCTTCAACGTCGTGTACGGCGCCGGCGACGTCGGCGCCTACCTGACGAAGCACCCCGCCATCGCGAAGGTCAGCTTCACGGGCCAGGTCAGCACGGGCAAGAAGGTGGCCGGCGCCGCGGCCGGGGAGATGAAGTACGTGACGATGGAGCTCGGCGGCAAGAGCCCGCTCGTGGTGCTGCCGGACGCCGACGTCGACCAGGCGGTCGACGTGGCGATGATGGCGAACTTCTACAGCACGGGCCAGGTGTGCACGAACGGCACGCGGGTGTTCGTGCCGCGGGCCCTGAAGCCGTCGTTCGAGCGCGCCCTCGTCGCCAAGATGCAGTACGTGCGCGCGGGCGACCTCTTCAGCCCCGCGACCAACTTCGGGCCGCTGAGCAGCAAGGTGCACCGGGAAAAGGTGCTGGCGTACGTGAAGCGGGGCGTCGAGTCCGACAAGGCGACGCTGCTGTGGGGCGGGCCGGAGCCCCCGGCCGACCTCCCGGCGGCCCTGCAGGGCGGCAACTGGGTGCGGCCGACGGTGTTCACGGACTGCACGGACGGCATGGCGATCGTCCGGGACGAGATCTTCGGGCCCGTCATGGCGATCCTGGCGTACGACACGCTCGACGAGGCCGTGGACCGCGCCAACGCGACGGACCTGGGCCTCGCGGCGGGCGTCGTCGGGCGCGACGTCGATACCTGCCACACGGTGGTCGCGCGCCTGCAGGCCGGCATCACGTGGATCAACACCTGGGGCGAGAGCCCGGCCGAGATGGCGGTGGGCGGCTGGAAGCAGAGCGGCTTGGGCGTGGAGAACGGGCGCAGGGGCCTCGAGGCTTGGGTCAGGAATAAGAGCACGCTCGTTGAGATGGGCGGGAGCGCGCCGACGGTGTTTTCGAAGCTGTGAGGGGGTGGGGGTAGTTAGCATGAGATGTACGGGATGGATGGGATGTAAAATTTGGTTTTGCTCCTTGAGCAGAGGGAAAGGCTCAGCGCAGCTCAGCTAGCTTCAAAAGGAGAGGAGAGAAAAGGTGTATATCTAAATCGTACATTATGGAGCTTGGGGTACTGTCGCCTCGCCTTGTGAGGATATCGTCGAACTGCCTACCTACCTGGTACGCCCATTTCTGTGACTGGTGTGTTAGTACTGGAGCCACCAATATCCAATCTACTACATACTGGCAAATCTATAACTCCACCTACCTTGCCCTCCAGACCATTGAGATGCTCCGCCGCTGCTCTCGAGCGCGTGCTTGCCGATTGAATCTAGACCGCATAGTTTGCAGGGTGGAGCATCACGTATTATAAGTCCGTTTACCACGGGATCCATCACCTGACATCCATCTAGCCATACTGAAGTAACGCTGGCCCGACTAGCTCATCGGTAGAGCGCCTCACTAGTATCCCCTTTCGAAGGAAAGATACATCCAAATGAGGAGGCAACAGGTTCGATTCCTGTGTTGGGCATTCTTTCATTCATTCTTTTTTCGCCTTCATTTTTGTCTCGCCTAGTAACTCAGTCCTGCAATCAAACATACATCTGGCTGTTTGGTATTTCTTCATGGGGCATATCAAACAAGGTCAAATTGAAGATGCCAAGCCAAGCCGAATGGAAGAAGGGCGGATATTATTGTAGTGTTTTAAAATTATACACGCAGCGCAATTCGATTGGTCACTAAAAGACCTGTGAGAGATATGTTAGGTAAGATTCTAGTACCATTTCCTTAAAACGGCCTGGACCATGGGGTTAACTGGGAATATTTACATGGGATAATCTGGGCGTCAGCGTCGGTCCGAATTGGAGCTCATCTCAAGGTGAGTAGGTCGGTATATAAAGACGAAGATAGTAAGACATGGCACGATTATAGCGATGACCCTCACGAATCAGCAATGGCAATGGCATCCCACACCACGAAGCAGTGGATCCTAGCTGCGAAGCCCACCGGCGCTCCGGTTCTTTCCGGGCCCGATGCGACCTTCGAGCTGCAGACCGCCACGCTGCCGCCGCTAGGGGCCGGCCAGATCCTATGCAAGGTACGGTACTTCTCCAACGACACCGGCCAGCGCAACTTCATCCAGAGCACGGTCGCCCCCGGCCGCCTCTACGTGCCCGCCGTGCCCGTGGGCCAGCCCATGCGCTCCGGCATCCTCGCCGAGGTCCTCGAGTCCGCGGCGCCCGCCTTCCAGCCGGGTGACCTGGTCATGGATTTCCATCTCGGCACGTGGAGCGAGCTCGTCGTCCTCGACGCCGCGACCTCCCAGCCCCTGGCCCCGCTCCCCAACGGCCTGCCGCTCACACACTACCTCGGTGCCTTTGGCGCGTCCGGGTTGGCCGCGTACACCGGCCTGGTGTACGCCGGAGGCGTCAAGGCTGGGGATACGGTCGTGGTGTCGGCGGCGGCCGGCGCGACCGGGTCCATGGCCGTGCAGATCGCGAAGAAGCTGCTGGGCGCGAAGCGCGTGGTGGGCATAGCCGGGTCCGACGAGAAGTGCGCGTGGATCGTGGAGCAGCTGGGCGCGGACGCGTGCGTCAACTACAAGAGCGCGACGTTCGAGGAGGAGCTAAAAGCTGCGACGTCCGATGAGGTGGATGTGTATTTCGACAACGTGGGCGGGGCCGTGCTGGACGCGATGCTGACGCGCATGAAGCGGCACGGGACAGTAGCTGTGTCTGGCGCGGTTAGCTCGTATAATTCGGCGGAGGCTATGGCGCTGCGGAACTGGTTCGAGGTTGTGGCGATGCGCATCACGGTCCGCGGGTTTATCATGCTGGACTACCTGGACAAGGCGCCGGATATCCTGAAGGAGCTGATCGGTGCTGCGGCGGATGGCCGTATCAAGCTGCAGGACGGCGAGACGGTGGTGGAGGCCCGCATCGAGGAGCAGCCTGGGATATGGATGAGGCTGTTCAGTGGGGGGAACCAGGGGAAGTTACTTACGAAGCTGGTCGTTTAGAAAATGGAAATCCTCGTCTTCGTCTTCGTCTGCCTAGCGAGTGACTGACTCAGTCTAGAAAGATGCCGAAAGGGGGACTCTAAAGAGTCAACCGAGTAAAATATTAGATAGTCACACGATGTTTGCCGCAGCTCCTACACTTGTACATTTCACTTGGGATCTATCACAGGTGGTCATGTCTCAACTCATTCTACTTGAACACAACCTACTTCATAGGAGGCGCTCAGGAGGACTGGATTGGTTTGGTATCTTCGGACTGCATGCGGTACGATCCCTATATGCCTAATCTTCCCGTATAGGGATCCTTACACGTCGTGAACGACGTTCCTCTCAGTATTTGCGGTATCTTTCCATCGCTGCCTTGTAGGATGCCGTTTCCACGTAACGGGGTAGAGGGTTGGGGGTAGGAGGAGGCAGAGGTTTGCTAGCCACGACTTTCCTCTCCTTGGTCACCACAGGGCCCCAGAGTTCCTCGACGCGCAGATAGGCACTTTTCAGATCCCTCTGGCATCCTAGCAGCACATGTGCGTAATCCCACGCTGTCTTCGGTGCCCCACTCTTGCTTAGCTCTCGTTTCCCGTAGCGATGGAAGAGAGCGTAGAGATTGTTCGCGTGTTTCCCGCGCAAGCGTAGGTTCCAGATCGGGGCGCTGAGATGGCTGCGATGGAGGATGGACATGCCGTAGATCGTTCCAGGCAGTTCGGGGTTGTAGTGATCTGTAGTAGAAGTCGTGGGACCGGGGCGGTATTGGTGGGTTAGAGCTAGCTTCTCTGCGAACCTGTACATGGCGGTAGGGTCTTGAACGCATAGCATTTGAAGCACGGAGCTCTCTTGGGGGATGATGGGACTGCCAGGACCGTAAGCGATGATGCCGATAAGCTAGCGACAAGATCTATCGGAGTACTCTGCTTGTGATTCTTTGCCTTTGCTTGCCCCGAATGACGAACTGAGAGTTTTCGCGGCTGATTTCGCCTCTGGTGATTCATGGCTTCCCTGCTTTGGGGTATCTGGCTGGGAATTGCTTGTGGTGTATTTCGGGTGGTAGTTGGAATGTTTGTTCACCTCCCCCTTGTGCGACATATCTGATGGCTGTAGCTCGCGACAGTCGTCGGACTGGTCTTGGACATCTTCTGAGCTGGAGTCCATATTATCGTTGGAAAGTTCTGATTCTCACTTTTGGGTCTCATATATACTGCGAATAGTGCTCTGCCAAACAATGGTCGGTTTGATATGTGACCAGTGAATACTACAGCACGGTGGGCCAGTATTCGAGGAACTGGACCTAATATAAGATGGCGCAGAAAAGAAAGGGAAAGTTGATGTATCCTAGAAGATTCTCTTTGAAGTGCGTAGGTTATAAAAAGCATTACAAAAAGAGCAATCACTGTGAATGATTGCACGTGCGGATGTAAACACCTTGATATCTTAGGTACATGTAGAGACCTTAGGTAGATATTTGCCTGGGTGGATACATCTGCCTTTGGACCTTTGGAAACTGATATCTAAGCACGTGTTAAGCGATACCATTAGAAGCTGATACTGAAGATATCTTCATTTTTGTATTTTCCAGTAGCCCCTTTCTTGTTACACATACCTAGCTGTACCTATCCTACCTAACCTACATGGGATACCAAAGGAAATTCGTTTGACTACAGTTGTGAGTTCTCGGGTACTTGACGTATTTATTAGGTACCTACCTAGGTAGGTACTAGGTAGTTACCGAATATTAAAAAGGGGGTTGCCCGGCGACGTTAGAGTTTCGCTGTTTAACTCGTAGACGCGCCTTGTACAAGCGCATAAACAAGTTGAAAGGCACGTAACAGGTAGCTATAACAACGGCAGGGCCTTTAGCGCTAAGCGAAAGACGCACATTAAAAAATATTTCACTGCTGCGTGGATAAATAGCTTGGCCGCCCAAAACCACACTTTTACCGTCTTCAACTTCTCTTACTACTCACCTAACCTTCGCAACATTAACTATGTGGCTTTCCTCTCTTAACACATACATCATCCCAACCTCTACATCTCTACCTCTATTTCATACCATCTAATTCCGACACATCACGAGCCAGGACTCTCGGGCTCTTGGAGTCTAGTACCCTCAGGGGTTGTTAGAGTACAGTACCTTCGATCCTTGGTGTCAACCCTACAACTTAAATCGCGCACAACGCACAGCGTCTTAATTCAACAGACTTTCGGATTAATTGCAAACTTTAATCCTCCGTTTCGGAGTATTTCGTTTGTAATGCCACGAAAGGTTAGAGTCAACCACTGCCATTACTTGCTGTGGTCTGCTGTCCATTCTGCACAACAACACTTTTAATTTAACGTCAACTGCATATCACCTTTCCTCTTTCAATCCATTCATACCTTTGTGGCTTCGCCAGTTTGTTCTTGCGACAAGTGGGTGTTGGTTGTCACCGCCATGCCATTTCATAAGACACTTGCGAGGAACATCCTCGTCAACTTCATCGAATCGACAATCCTATTCAGCAATGGCTTCAGTACATTCGCTACTAGCAACACCGAAAATTCACTGATGAATCAGATGATAAAAGACATGTTACCTGTTCAAGGTTTTCTGGTGAGTACAAGTATAAGTGTGCCGAGGTGCTTTCATAGTCTAACGTTTCAGACGTTAAGTCTAACAGAGTAACGTTGATATATATTTATATTCCGAGGATGCCAGTTGAGAGTCGAGCGAAAGACTAGTAAGGAACCTAGGACGCTCGGGTTACTTTTGACAAGCCACACGGCACGGTTCGGTTTCCGACACTTGATGTCTGGGCCTACTATGACACCACGATCCCAACTGCCATCACTGTAAGACCCCAACACACGACAATGAGCAAACCTGACCACAAACTAACAAAAATAAGAGTTTTAATGAAGAGATTGGGAGTGGTGGGTTAGGATCGGAGAAAGGCAGACACCTGTTCTCATACTTCTTGATTTGCGCCAATCAGACAGAACGTCTGAGACAAAACGTCTGAGACAAAACGTCGATTGGAACTACGCTTTCAATACTACCCCTTTGGCGAGATACGACACATTCCAACTTTCTCAGGATCACCTACTATCTCGCCCAGCTTTCGACATTTCATTTGATAGATGGCAACAGTCTCTATGCAGAACACCACACTACCTACCACTCCTCTGACTTACCTCCTCGTCCGCCAACCCCTAACCCAATCCCTCCCAATACGGCATCAGCACAACCCCGTCAGTCTGTGACTGCGCCTACTGTTACAGCTACTTGCCAACCTTGACGGGATGCTCGTCTACCGCCTCTGCGCACTCTGTTGCTTTTTACCTCTTCGGATCCATGCTATCCTCGCTATCAGACCGTTCGATCTAGCATGGACTCCGTCTCAGAATACCACACGACTCGATCCAATCTGGACTCCGTTGAGGAGATAAGATCCGACTCCTCCAGCAGGAAGAGCAACAACTTCCCAGCTACCTTCCTCTTCGTGGTAAACGAAGTGTATGCAGCCCACCGCGCACCTGGG